ACGGTCTTAGACAGGCCTCTTTCAGGCCCTCACTCTCCCTTATCAGAGGACAGCTGCAGCAGAGGCTCCCGGTACCCCATATGGTTAATTATGCCCATTAGAAGCCCTTACGGATTGCTAGAGGACTCTGGAGCTTCCTCAGGCTCAGACCCTAGTGGTGTCCCTGATTTTATCCTTGCCTAACAGCAGCAGACACCCTCAAGTTTCTCACAGGGCTGCCAGGCACTTCCTGGACCTTGAGCCTAGGAGGACCTGAAGTCTCCCAAAGAGAGCCAAAGACTGCTGTATCTGTTGGCTGCTTCTGGGAGACCCACTCTCTATAAACACTTAGCCTGAAGATACAGAGCAGGAGCCACTTTACACGACAAGCTGATTTTTTAGTGCTCCCTATGAATTTAAGATGTACAACTATCCCCCACCAACCAAAATACTGAACAATCCTCTCGAGAATGATGCCATGCAATCTGTTCAATTAAGAGCTACAGCTGATAAACTCCTAACTGCCAAGTAGGTCTTCCAAAGAAATACCAGTCCCTGAGTGCATCCCAGATGAACATCCTGAAAATGGGTTACGTGAAACAGATAGTGCTAAGTTGCCCAGCTGTTGTCCTTAGTTATTTCAGCCAGCTAAGTAAGCAGGACATGAACAGTTCCTTCTAGGCAAGTAGTTCCCATGACCCAAGTGTACAGAACAAATTCACACCCTTCACTCTCCCACAGCAGTTTCAACTTCTCTCAGATTATACTCTGTGCTAAAATGGGCAAGTTAAAAAAACAAAAAAACAGCTTTTTCTCATTTCCAGCCCAAACTAATTCATTAACTATTAATACTCCCCTGTTTTCACGCCAGTGTTATAATTTACTCACGGACAACCTTTCCATTTGCCAGGGTACCTACCTATGTAGAATACTTAGCACCACCAAATACTCCTCTCGCTTGTGCACTAAGCTTGCCAAGGCCTTTTTATTTACTTTCGACATAACAGTCTCAGTCTTCCATACTGTCTTTGCCACACTGTTCTAATAGAAATTCGCTCCTCTTGGGAACAAGTGGCCAGTGTACATATTGAAGATGTTAAAGTCTAGATCTTTAATTTGTTGGCTGAAGAACTTTCCTTGCTTGAAAAGTCAAACTCCAACACAAAATAGAAGAGACTAACTACAGAAGAAAAGCAAATGCAGAAATAGCATATGCTTAATAGAACAAAACAACCTAGTAGGATAGAGCATAACTTTAAAATGCTGTAGTGCTTACAAGGTGTTAAAATGATGAAAAAACTGCATGTGCTTCCTGACACTTAGTCTGCTTATCACCAAAAATAATGTTTTTTGCAGAGTCATCTATCAAATCTCAAGCAGCAAATACAAGCCCTCTAAACTCACACCTTCTGCGACCTTTTCCTACTACCCCAGCGGCCCCTCCCCTGACACAGCAACATGCCATTCCCTCAGGCCGTGTCACTGCGACCAGAAAACAGGCTCCATCGCTGCCCCTCTGCACACCTATAATACCTTGATACCCTTCCAACACTGCGGCAGTCAACGTGCATGCAGTGCTGAATGTGAGGGCACACAGCACAGATCAGAGGGCCAGCCCCTCCTCTTGCCCAGTGGCAGCACTAGGCTTGCTGCACTCCAGGGTACAGTTGGCCCTTTGGATTCCAGGGCACACTGCTGCCTCATGTCCTGCTTGCCAGAACCCCAATTCCTTTCCATGGGGCTGCTTTTCCCCTCCCTCATACCCCTCTCTGTACACATAGACGAGATTGATTTTTGTTGGAGCACACTCCTAGGATATTCAGTACAGCTTAGGTTAACACCTAGCCTAAATTTCTGAACGTCAAAAACACAGTACAAGAGGGTATGATTTGCACATCCTAAAATCTCTCCACATCTAACAATAAAGCATATTAAGTACACATGAGAATATTAAGAGGTTCAAAATTCCCTAACCAAGCATCCTGTGAATCCTGTGCGGTGTTAAACAAGCAGGCATCTCACTGTGTCAAAAAACCTTTATGTAAAAGCCCACCGTAGAAGGATGAGACTAGCAAAGTTTTCTTCGCATAGTGAATGTATCTTTCACTTCTCCCCTTTGTGACAGTGAGGATGTTAAGGCTAACAGCACAGGGAAACTGATAAAGAAACAGGACAGCCTTGCTTAAAATTACTATTTCACTTTAAAACAGATGTTAAAAATATTTGTTGAATTTTTTTAGAAAAGCTTATTTCAGACTTACACAGCAATAACTGGCATAAAAATAAGAAGTTTGTAATGCCAATCCTATCGGTTCAGATGAGATTTATCTAGACAGGTCTGCATCAGTTTCAGACTGCTTATTCCCTTCTAACACATAGCTTAACGTATTCTCTTCACAGTTAGTCAATGAGCACAGTAACCAGCCTGTGTCCACAAATGCACACTCTGATTTGACCTGGTTAAGTCTGAATGCTCAGGTACTAAACTGCTTTGTGCAGAACTAGAACTACTACAGCTAGTAAATCCATCCTCTATAAAAGCACGATGAGTACAGCATTGATTCTGATGTACTCCTATAGCTTTGTCTCCTCTCCTGCCCTTCCCCCCCCAGAAAAAGCCACGCTTGCAAAAATTTCTTCATTTGATAATAACCCCTCTCAGACAAAATGGCCTGAGGCTAATTTTTTCCCAACTTTTATTCAATTAAAATACTTGACAGTCCTTATCTACTGCTTCCAAAAGCAAGAGTACTTCATCCTCTCAGTTTGATTTTTCATCAGTAAAACGGCTCAGTGGGCTAGCACTTCACAACATAACAGCACAAAATAAAGTCAGGTTATTAAAAACACATTTTGAACTACACATTTTAACTGCCTGATCAAGCAGAAAATTAATCAACCTTTTGTGTAAAAGCTTTAAGCCAAATCAGCTATTTTGAAGCATATTTCTTCATATTCTCCCCAGAAAGTATATTTTAGTGCTTTCCTTTCTACTGATGAGTTCTCTATTACAAGCATAAACTCTTGCTAGAATACTGTCTTGCATTCTAACATCAAATCTCTTCAGACTGATATTTACTCAGAATGCAAGGAGAAAGTGCTAGAAACAGAAGCCAATTTTAGCGCAACAAGTTTCCCCAGCCTATCACAACTAGATCATTTTTGGCCTTGTCACAGCATAGGGCACAGCTCCAAGTAAACAAGTCTACCTCCAGCAGCAAAACATGCAAGTGTAGTTCAAAGACTAAAAGCAATGTTCCCTGAACTCTCAGAGTGGACACATTTATTCAAAGATGCCAGAAAATTCCCTAAAGAATTCAGTGCTATCTACTAAAAGTAGTATTTTTCAAAGTCTGAGAAAACCCAAACAGACATTTGGTTAGTACTCTGGGTTTGAAAGTTTCCCCATTCTCCTTATTAATTTCTAATATCCGCAGCACTTTTTACAGTAAGTCTGCCCTTAATTTTCTAAAACACTATCCTAGGAACTTTAAACACATTTTCACCTTGACGCCTCAAGGACTGACACAGCCAAGGCCTAATCCTGCACACCTTTATGGAGAGTGTTCCCCAAATCATGCTGCATCTGCCTGAGCACCTGCTCTTAGCCGAGGCCAAACAGACTGTGCTCATAAGAAGCTTTCCCGTTGCTACTGCAGGTCAGTGGGAACACATCTGCATGCAGATGGTGCAAGCAAGTTTCATATCACATAACTTCTTACTGATGCCTTTTGCTGTCTCACAGGCTGGCAACATTCTCCCAGCCCTTCCCTTGCCCTCCTTTTTCCAAGACTTTCCTCAAAGAAGAGAAGAGCAGATAAGATTACAGGAGAATTTCTCCTAGCAGTAAGTAAAGAGCAACGTTTCAGATCCTTGGTGGCTTCTAATACATGCTTCAGCGAGCAATTCGCCATCTGCCCGTCACACCGTTGGGCCAAACGAGCTCAACCAGATTTTGGCTGTCCTCCTGGATTGTTTTTACAGACGGAGGAGGGCAAGCCAACAGGCCTGGCAGCAGCAGGCACAGCACAAATTTAAGGTTGCTGCAGACACCTCCACAGGCCCAGTTCACAGTTCTGCTCCAAGGAAAGCACTTGCACAAGTGCGCAAGTACCTTCCCCGGGACTCCCTCCCCTCAAGCAGCTCCCGAAGGCACCCAGCAACCTGCAGCGTGCCAGCAATCACCCACCCGCACCCCCATAGCAGTAGAGCGGCAGGGGCAGCCCCGCCGCTTTCTCTGCTCGTGCTTTTTCGGCGGGAAGCCGCGTGCCACCGCCCCGCTTCCCCTTCCCCCTCCAGCGCCGTGCCCCCAGGACGGGCGAGGGCCGGAGCTCCCGCCATTCTCCGCGGCCGCCGCCTCGGCGGAGCCCACCTACCCCGCGCCGGAGCGTACGAGCTGCCCGGAGCGGAGCAACTCTACCGGCCCAGGCCTCCCCGCCAGGCCAAAAGGAAAGTATTTCCCTGCTCTCCGAGCACCGGTAGCCCCGCGGTCCTCCCAGCCCCTTCCCCCGCAACCCGGGCCACCCTGCTCCCGTCGCACCCTCCCGCAGCCGCGGCTCGGGCACGGCGCTCCCGGGACGGGGAGAGGCCCACAGCTCGGGAGAAGCGGATGCGTCCTTATCCCCCCCCGCTCCCGCACCGTCTCCTCGGGGTCGATGTCGATGCGGAACGTCTGCTGTTGCAGCGTCTTCAGGGTGATCTGCATGGCGGCGGCGGCGGTGGTGGTGGTGGTGGTGGTGGCGGGCCGTCCGGCACCCCGGGTCGCCGTACGACACGGCACAGCGGGAAGAGTGGAGGCGGAGCGGTGGCGCGCTGTCGCCTCACGGCCCCGGGCAGACGCGGCGGCTCCCGGGACTGAGCAAGCGGAAGGCAGCGGGTGCGAGGAGTAACGGCTGCGGGCCGAGCGGGGGAGGGGCGGGGGGAGGCGTGGGACGGGCGGAGTGCGCACGCGCCGTCTCGTGGGGGTGGCGCGTGCGTCGTCGCTGAGCCGGGAAGCGCCAGGCGCATGCGTTTCTGGGCTTCCCGCCGGCGCCTCGCGCCTGAGGGGCCGCCAATGGCGGCGGTGAGGTGGTGCGGTGGCCGGGTGGGGCTACTGCCTTGGCTGTGGGATCGAGTTCTCAGCGATGCGGTGGGCCGCGGGAGAGACTGGAGCGACCGGTTACTTGCTTAGGATGGAGGCGGGCAACACTAACCGGGCAGCGTGGTGGCTGGATCCTTCTGGTGCTGCTGCTGGAGTTACTGCTGCCCCATGAGGAGCTGCTGACCTCCTTTTCCCTCGAGATTCCTCAGGCAGTGAAGAGCGATCCCTGCTGTGCATAGCGTTCAACCCACTGTTGAACCAGCTGCTCTGACAGGAGAAATACCTGCCCTTGTTCCTTACAGCTGCTTCCATTTGTAGGTGTGGGACCTTGCACTGCGTTTTCTTGGTCCTCAAGGCAAAAGAGGATTGTAATACTAGGTGAATATAGGGCATAGACCCTGGATGTCTTAAATCATGCCTTGGCCACTCACCATAATTTTCATTAAAGGAAGTCACGCTTTAATTCATTATTAGGAGTTTCATAATAACTTCCTACAGGCAGTGGAGGTGCATCACAGAGCGAAGGGGAAGGGGCGGCTGCCTCCCTGCAGTGGGGTGTGGGTGCCTGTGGGCTGTACACATGTGCTGCTTCTGTCCTCACCCCCCTGAGGCCATGGTGCACAGCTGCTGGGCAGCCAGAGCCTCCCGGGGCTACTGCACCCGAAGAGAAACTGCTGAGTGTTGCTGGTAGGAATCCGGCGTTCTTGGCAGCACACAGTAGCTTGCTTGCGTTGCAGAGCACCATTCAGAACTAGAGGCTTGAGATAAAATATCACTTGCTATTTTTTGCATGACTGTTTACAACCTGAAATACACTGTTTGCTCACTTCCACTGTTGCTCGATCCCAGATTTAGTTCTTTTGCAGATAGAAAGGATATTTTTCTCTACTTAGCATTTAGCAGTCCAATGTACATTCTGCTGAATGAATGCAAATGAAAGTACTTTGTGCTGAGCAATTGTATTAGTTTCACTACTCCTTTTTGTTCAGACTGTGTTGAAAGGAAACTACTCATACCCTCATTTTTGTGGTTGCTGGTTGTAGTACAAAACAGCTCTGCACAGTTTGTGTTGGGGCGAGTGTTCATTTACATGTGGTTGCTTGGTTCTGCCCTGAAATCTTGTAAAAGCCTTAACATAACTGAGAATCAGCTCCAGAGAGGCTGTGAACCGGTAAGGATGATGTTTTTTGTGACTTTGAGCTTGGAGCAAAAAAAGAGAATGTTGGTGAAAAAAAGCTGAATGTTTTTCCACTTCAGAGTGGTATGGAACTTAGGGACAGCTGACTGAATGGAGCCCACTTCAGATGAACAGGTTCTTGATGTTTTCTGTAGCTCAAAACTTACAGCTCCATAAACAAGTTGTGGCAGGGTTGAAATTCCTTTTTCAGGCTGGTTTCTATCATTTATAGAATTGAGGTATTTTTCCAGAGTATACTGAGTGTAGTTTCATGGTACTTCTTAAGTCAGTGCTTGGTTTTTGTTTTGCTGGTTTTTTTTTTTTTCCATTTTGTATGGAAGTAAATAAAACTTTTCATCCAAGAATAATTTAGTTACTTAATCATTGATTTCCTTGGAGCACTAAACAGTTGGAAGGGAAGGAAATAAAAATGACTTAAGTATGAGAAGCACCGATATTTTTCTCTGAGAATGGTTAGCTGATGTCTGGACCTGAAAGGGCTGTTTTTACAGTAGGAGGACTTTACAGTACTTCAGAGTACAGTCTCACTGCAAGCTATTTTAATATTTAGACTTATTTTGAGATTGTGTCCTGTCTGTGCTGTAGTAACAAGCACAAATGGAAGCTGAAAGCTGCATGCTGGTCTTCTGTAGCTCAGCAGAGCTGCACTGGAAAGGCAAGACATCTGAGTATTTCCAAAACAATACTAATTACTGTGTATGACATTAGAGTGGCAAATAACATAGTGAGCGCATTGCTATTACTGCAGTTGGACAGTGTAACACTAAAGGGTCTTCCCAACTTCATGGCTGCACTGAGGAGCTGTTGAATGGTTTGCTCTCTGCCCTACAAAGAGCTCCTAGGGAAATTATGTCAGAAGTTGGCAACAATTAATCTGGATTATTGAGTCAAGAATAATATTTATCTAGAAAATAGTGGATCAAATCCTGCAGGTCTAACCGGGCCTACTATGAATAAATTAAAACAGTGTATTTTTGTATGAGTCATAAATCATATTACAGTCATCACTGTGGTTAACTAAAAGTATTTTAATCTAATCAAAATACAGTTAAAACTCACTTAAAGAAGTTTGATTTCAAATATACTGCCTTACACACAGATTAATTCTTTCAATGGTGGCATGAAGAATTAAACACCAAAATAGATCCTGTTACACATACGTGACTATAGATTTATGCATTACTTGCTTCTGAGCATGAGTTTCCAACACTTCACTTTTTCTCCTTACATTAGGATAAAAGAGAACAATATTGAGACTTGTATTACGGCATTCATAGCTTTTAACAGGCCATCTGCTTTGGAGTAATGTAACTGCTGCAGAGCATTGCTTTCCTGGTATATGCATAACCTGACAGATGGAGAATGTGAACCCTCTGGATTCATCAGGAAATCACTTTTATGTGTAGCTTCTCTATACATTTCTAGCCATTTGTAAAACACTGCTAACTCCTAGGTCACAGAGACTACAAAATCACAGAATCACTGCCATTTGCAGGGATATATAGGTTGTCTTTACTCCAGATTTCTTAGTGTGGAGTCAAAAAAAAAATTAAGACCTGGTGTGCAGAGCTTTGTCCAGCCAGGTTTTAAAAACCTCCAAGGACAGAAATCCCACAGTCTCTGTGACTCCTACCAGAGTGCTTATTCTCACATTCGTTTTTTATTTTCTGTCTGTGCTGAACCTCTCTAGTTTCATCTGATGTTATTGTGTTGCCCCTCTGCAAGGCATCACTGGCAAGAGCCTGTACCCATCTCCTTGTCCTTGTTCATCCGTAGGTATGATAATGTTGTTTTGTGCCTCAAAATCTCCGCTCCAGACAGTAGCTGTCATGGACACTGCAGGGATTTCCACTGCCCTAACTCAACTCAGATATTGTTGTGCTGTAATGTTCTGTATACAGACTCCAGAGCTGCTACACAGCACGGCTCTTCCAGGAGCCACACCTCTTCCAGGAGTTCCTGGGTCTATTGTAGCCCCAGTTGCCCTGGCTGCACCAGGAACTGGGGCAGGTCTTTGTAGATGATCCTTTGGAAGCAGATGAGGAAAACTGCATCTTGTTCATGTTGGACTTCCTTGACCCAGATGAGGAGGTGCTGAACCAACTTCTGGACTTGCCCCTGCCAGCACAGGCAGCTCGTTGTTTTTGAGTGGTGCAGTGAGAGGCCTGCTGCCTGAATGGCTTGAGGAGAGTTTCTGCTGATGGGATCAAGAGAGCAGCTCTGCTACCTGCCCAGCAGGCTCAGGGACGCCTGCCCCCCATGTAGACTGCTTCAGGAGATGTTCTCTGTCAAATGCAGGATCTCCATCAAAGCACCTCAGCTGCTGTTCATGTGGGTCCCACCCATCTCTCTTGCATCTGTGTTCACATCCCCAGGGAGCAAGAAGAGACTAGGAGGTATTAGAGAGTCCCCTTGCTTCCAGCCACGGCACTCCTGTGGGCACTCCTCTGTGAGTCTCCATCACCAACAGAGGAGAATGTCCACCTGTCCAGCCTCACTGCCACCCAGCAAGAGGCCACACCACCATCAATACCAGCAAGAGGGTACCTGAATGCCTTGCAAAAACAGCTGGTCCAAGGGAAAGTGGCCTCACAATTTGTCAGTCAGCTCAGTCAGCACCATCAGAAGCACCCCGTTGGTGCAAATGGAATCAAATGGCTCAAGCTTATTTGTTGGAGCAAATGATGTTCTATTATGAGTTCCCTGTTTAGCAGTGCCAGTCTCCTGATGATGGTTGTGTTTTTTTTTCTTGAAAATGAATTGTTGTTGTTGAAGAGAAGATTGTAGGGCTTGCTAGTCCTTTTGAGCTCCTTTCCAAGCTGGCTCCCATAAGAGCCATTTCCCAGCTATTTCTTAACTGAAAAAGCCAAAGCTGTCACTCTTGATGATCAGGGCTTTCAAGTGTTCTGTTACTCTGGTTACTCACCTCCTACACACACCACAGGATCTTGAATTCGTCTGTATAAGAGTCAAAGCTGCCACTGATTATCATGACCCTGACAAGTCCTTCCACTTTTGTGTGTTACAGATTCAGGACAGCATCACCCCAGGTTGGTCTATCAGCATCTGTGTTATCCCTGCTCCCTCCAGAAATGTCTGTGATGGCCTTTCACTTGCAGCTGATGCCAGGGAGATTGAAGATCACCACAGGAACCAATGGCAGTGACTGAAGAACCCCAGCAACACTGTCATGCAACGGAAGTGCTCTAGCTCAGGGTTAGCAGTTGAGGGTATAAGAAGACAGTGCCAAGAGAGCATTCCTCAGGGATCAGATGTACCCTCTGAAAATAAAGTAAGGTGGTGTGTTCTGGTGTTAGGTTCATCAGTTGGGTTTCATTGTTGTCGTTATTTTGAACACACAATAAAGTTATGTTGGGTCAGAAACTAAATGCTTGTCTCCTGTGTGAATGTGAATGTATTTGCGATCAGTTAAGCCTTTTCGTTCTTGGGCCAGCGCAGCCTTTCAGGATTCATACAGAATTCTTGTACTCTAACTACATGGCTTTCATGTTGTGAGATTCCTCTGATCATTTTAGTTGATCTTCTCTGCACCTGCTCCAAATTGATTTAATCTTACTTGGACTTGAACTGAAGCCCACACAAATCTCACTGGCACAATTTGTGCCTGTGTTTTGTGCTTTGCGCTTGCCCTGCTGAGCACTTCCCTGCTAAGCACTTCCCCTTCTCACAGCACTGTCTTACAGGTAGGTACCATAGGACCAGCTGTACACACTTGACTGCTTGGTACTTTCTCAACAGTTGTCAGCCACCAATCTCCAAAGCTGAAATTTTTGCTGTTGTTTCTGAAGCAATATGACTTCAGTTGACTTTGGGATCTGGGTTGTGGTGGCTTCACCCTGGTGGAGATCTGAACAGCCCCACACGTTGCCCTCTTGCCTTCCCTCTTCAAAGGAGGAGGGGGAAGGATATACAATAAAAAACAGCTTAAAGTTTGAGAAAAGGACAGGGAGATTGTTCAACAATTAGTTGAACAGTAATAAGCAAAGGCTCAGCATAGGGAGGTTAATTTAATTTACTGCCTCTTAATAACAGATTGGAGCATGAGAACTAACAGTAAACCTACCTACCCACCCACTCCTCTTCTGCCTCTTCCCCCAAGCTGTGCAGGGGAACAGAGTGGGGGCTGCAGTGACTCATGTTCCATCTCTGCCACTCCTCCATGGTCCTTCCCTGCTCTTGCTTCCGTGGATGCCATCTTCTCTGAATTGATCCAGAGTGGACTTCCCATGGGCGGCAGCCCTCCAAGCACTGCCCCAAGACGGCTCTGTATTTTCTGCGTGGACAATATCTGTAAACTTACAGCTAATCACGGTGCACTTTCTTACCACACAGTTATTTAAGGAAGTTTTCAGTAAGGCGGGTCAGCAGCCACCTTACTGTGTAATAACTCAATTCTGAATGAATTGGCTTGTGGTGGTCTCCCAGCTCTCAGGACTGTTTTTATGTGAGTGTAATGGAGGGTGATACATCCTAGACTGTGCTAGTAACACAGATTTTAGATTCCTTCATATAACTTGGGCTTGATGATGCTGTTGTCTCCAGGCACTTTCTTACATGCAGATGAGTACACAGACATGTGGTTGTGTGTTGCATTATCCACATATAAACTGCCACAGCAAGCGTTTGAAGACTGATGGGTCAGCAGGCTCACTTGGGAGTGTGCCCTGCTTTGTTAGGTGGCTGAGAAGCATGCTTGGTGCTTAATTTTTTTAGAAGAGAACTGTATGGCTTCTTAGCTGGCTGTGGTGCACATTCCAGTTGAGCACTTCTTACAATTTCAAGGTTCAGCAAGCAATTCAGCTGGGGCAGAAGAAGTAATTACAGAGTTGTGAGAAGCTGAAATGTAAAACAGATGGATGGATTGTTCCTTCCCCTGCCAACCACAGAGAAAATATAATTCAGACTCTCGATAGAAGTGAATTCTCTTAGTTTGAAGAGATCTTCTCTCCCTCCCAAAAAATGACACTGCACACTTGAGCATCAGATTCTGATATTCAGTTTACCATCAGGATCCCTGGCGTCATTGTGGTCAGCACAAGTACTAGATAGCGGTGCCCAGTGGAGTACTGCTGCCTGCTGAGCTCTTCTGATGGATGCCTATTCAGCTGACACTCGGGTGGGTGACTACTCATCTCCTCAGGCAAAGCCTTTTCTGGTGTGAACGAAAGTGGGGATATGTAGCATTTAATTCATTATCCCTTCCCATGGCAGCCTTCTTGGCTCTGTCCTATGCAGTGTGGAATTGCAGTGTATGTCAGATGTGAAATTGACTCTGATTTTGCATGACTATCAGTAAAAACAAATACAGAGGAAAAAAACAAAACAACACAAAAAAACCCCCACCATTTCTTGGGATCTAACAGCATGTCTTCCCTTGTTAACTCTAAAACAATTGGTTTCTCACTGGCATTTCATTGGCAGCAAAGGAGATAGTTCAGATCATGGGCAGGGTGTCATAGCAGGCATCCAGCAGCCTGCTGCTGGTTCTGCCCAGCACAGCCCATCAGGGACTGTTTGTGATTTGAATTCTCTGTGGTATTGTGGTGAGAGCTCAATAGATCTTCAAAGTTGCAGTTACTTAAAATCAACTTCAAAATATTTTTTTTCTTAATTAAATAGAAGAAGCAAATTAAATTACTAACACTGAGAACAAGAAATAACAATCATCCACTAATGATTTGTCAGAAGACAAGTTCAGTGAAGAGGAAAATCAAATTAGGTGCTGCTGGATTTGTCTGTGCTTTCTTGCTTAAATGGTGTTTTCTAAAATCAAGGAGAGGACAGATCAAGCTACTATCCCATTTCAGGATCTCTGTGGTTCTCACTTGCATGTCTAATTAAAGAGACTGGTGGTTAAAGCAACACTTGCTGCAGCAAGAGTCACAAATAAGATTGTTAGGAGTGTGAGAGGACTGAAAGGGATAACTGGTTTGCTGGGAGAGAGGATGGTGAGAAAGGCTTCAGAGCTGTAAAGTTGACCAGAAACATGTTGACATCAGTGGCAAACTTGAAATAAGGAAAAGCAAGCAAAGCTAAACCAAGTAAGAAGCAGTGGTGAGATCATGCTGTCCAGGTGAGCCTACACTGAAGAGAGAAGCTGAAAGTTCAGGAGGTACCAGTAATTATGAATTATTTTTTCTCCTCACTGCTGTTGCATGGCTGCTATAAGAGCACAAAGGGAGAAGATTCACTTAACATGAGGGAGCAGTGGTTTGGTAGATTGGTGTACATGGGGTGAAGCTGGTAGTGCAACTATACTAGTGCACAATCAATGGCATTTCATACTGAGAGGCAAAAGAGCAAAACTAGCAATAACCCTCTGTAGTGTGCTTCGTATTTCCAGCTGAGGCATCACTGACAGTACATGTCAATTACACACTTCAACATGTACAAAGGCCACCTGGTGCACTCAAGCTGCAGCAAATCACTTACACCTGCTGAAAAGACATGTCCGTGTGTGCCCTGATCATGGAAGCACAAGAGTTTTCAGTTGTAGCTGTTCAGCACAGTAGTCATGCAGAGCAGCTACAGCTGGTTGCCATGGCTCAAGCAATGCTGTGGTCTCATCAGAGATTTCCAGCAGGACAAATGCTGCTCTTAACTTCAAACTGGGGGAAAAAAAAAAAGCAAAGGGCAATCCAGATAAGTCAATGTTGGTCACCTATGCAGTAAAAATGTAATTTTAATATGATAACTGATTATTTTGTCCATTTTAATAAGCAAATATTTACTGTGTTTGGTTTAGCATTTAGGTCATGCTAAGAGCACATTTCTCAGATATCTGATTGCTGCTTTAGTAAGAAAACTCCTAAATCTCTCTGTTCACTTACTGCAGACTCATTTTTCTCCCCCAGGTGACCATTTACTGTTGGAAGTGGCAGTATCCCAAAATGCTTATTACTTTTGCACAGGTTGCTGTATTTAAAGCTTGTCAGCATGTAAACTCAAATTTGCAGGCAGCAGACATCTGGAATCCAGTTAAATTAAAAATCTTCTTCTTTTGTGCCTTCAAAGGATATAAACTTCAGTAATTTTTTAATCTCTAACAACTCATTTGTCAGTACTTTACAATTAAAAAATAAATAATCTTGTAGTTACAATCAAGTTTCTTCTTTATGTCTCTCAAGAGCTGAGTATTCTTGCATAAAGCAAGACTCAAGTGCTAGGTTTAGAGCCCAACCTGAAAGACTACCTTGAAATGTGTTTTGCTGGACAAGTGTTTTTTCAAAATATGTGGATTTGGTTTGCCTTTTTGTCTTTCCTGAAATGGAAGTTCCCTTTCTAAATGCTGTCCCGTTGCAGTTTTACATCTTCTTTTATTCCTCATTCTTTCAATTTCTGGTGATCTCTCCAGTTCCAAAAAGGGTGTTCTGGTTTTTTTTTTCCCTAAATCTGATGTTATCATTTAGGTACCAGCAATTTAGGGGATAGTACATCCTCAGATTTCCATAAGACAGAATTATCACTTAGATGCCTCAGGCCCATTGCGTTCTTTTTACCCATCCAGCAGATGGCATCTAAGCTTTAGAAAAGGTCATCTTCCTTCATACTCTAGATTCTGCACAGATTCTTTTTTTGTTTGATATTTTCAATTTAAAAAGATGCAAACAGGATTATTTTAGAAAACTATCATCTCTTATTAATTTAGAAGTTTATGAGCCCAACAGTATGTGAATTTTAAATTTTTTCTTCAGTCTATATATAGTAAATATAAGAAGAATTTATCTTGTACTGCTTTTATGGAAGGCTAAGTTTTATTCATCAATTTGAATCTTATTTCTCAAGTTTGTTATTAAATGAACGTTGTTACTGCAATTATATTCAGTGTTTCATCTGTTATGGATTCTGATGTAGGTAACATAGCAGCTGTCAATCACATGTTTTGAAACTTGTGACTTCTTGTTTCCTGATGTTAGGTTTCCCAGTGGTCAGTTCATATACATATAGAATACAGTAACTTATGAATGCCTAGATCAAAACTACTGCTTATAAATCAATATAAATAAAATAAATATAAATTTACAGGAAATAAAGTTGCTAATATGAAAGCCTATTTTGATTATATAAGCTGTAAGAAATTCATTTATTTCATCATATCTTTATTTTAGTTGATTCTAATTTCTATCCTTTGTTATGGGAAAGGAATTGTAATTCTCACTTCAGCACTTACTAAAATCCATTTGCACTTTCATTTCCAGGATGGCAAAAGACAGCTGGCTGGCTGTGCCTAATCTGCAGACACCGATCTTCACAGAAGGATGCTTGTGCCAGTTCCCTTAGGAGGAACATCTATAACAGGTGTCAAATACAACAAGGAGCACTAAATTACATTCTTTCCTCTTCTTCTCCTCCTTCTACTCTTTTTTTA